ACCGTGCGGCTGCGATAGCAGCCACGCAACATCATCTAATTCTTGAACCCGGCTGTAGAAAACAGATCATTTCACAATGCCTTTTGGGCATGGCTGAGTTTGGGGGGGTGGGTAAAGTCTAAATAATAATGGTGAAACTTTTATCAAAGCAGTGAGGCTGGTCAAAGTAGACAGAGTGTTGACTGGAGTTCGTCTGCCCCGCAGACATTGGGGGGGGGAGGTTGGGGAGTGGGGGTTTATTGGGGTTCTTCGTGGTGAAGGATGGGTATTGGTGGAGGGAATTGTGATTGATGTTTGCATGACTGAGACCTAGACTTGAGGGCTTTGTAATTTTTCCCACAGCGATCCAATAAATAAATAAATTTATAATAAATAAATAAATAAATAAATAATGTATGCCTGAATAGCATAGAGAGTGTTGTAAACATTAGTACCACAATAAAACTGATATGTTATAAGAATTAGTTTAACTGCATACAAGGCAAATACCTTAACCACTCTATTGTCTACCTGGTTCTGCTCTGAAGAACTTTTTATTTTTACTTTTTTATTGAATCAGTATGACAGAGACCACCCCAAAGCTGTTCATGATTGGATTTCATTCATACAGTATTCCAACACCCATCCTTCCATCAGTGTACATTTCCCAGCACAGGTATCCCCAGGTTCCTTCCAATAACCCCCCACTCACCACCCCCTGCCTCACTCTATGGAAGGTGGTTAAGCAGAACTTTTAACTGGAATCATTTGAAGAGTAATTTGAGAATACCTTTTTTTTAAAAAAAAATTAAATGTGTGCTCTTTAACGTAAAACAAAAATCTACCTTATAGTATCTACTATGTAAAAAATCTAAGTAAATTCTATCATTTAAAATGAAAAAATCGGCACTTTATTCACTGTGGTAACACTAGTGTACTTTCATTGAAATTGCTACTGATATGCTACTGATATTTTCAGAGATAGCAGTTGCTACAATAGTTTTCTTTTTGGGTAGAAACATGGTAAAAATCTACGTTAGTGGATTTGAGTTCTTTATTACAGAATAAGAATTGCCCGAATTCAGTGTTGAAAAACAAGTATTGGCTGTGAAGTGCACACTGGTGGAGGGATGGGGGTTGGAACACTGTATGACTGAAACCCAATTGAATAGCTTTGTAAGGGTCTATATCACAGTGATTCAATTTTTAACTATTTGAACAAAATAAAATAAAATTTTCAAAAAGAAATCATTGTCATATGCAACTATGAGAATAATGAAGAATCAGTTTACATGTATGAAATTTGTAAATTTTATTACTATTACTACTAATAATAATATAGACATTTTGTTGCTATTAATATTAAAATAATACATTCATGGCTATTTCTCCCAGAATGGAGCATAAAAATGAGGCCCCCATAACCGTACCACCAGACTCCACGCCAGGGGTGTGCCAGAGGGGGGTGGGTTAGACCCCTCCCTGCCCCAAGGGACCCAGCCCCGGTAGCCAACCTCCGCTAGCCCACCACTGCCATGCTCCAGGCACCTCATAAGATACTTCCTACACATTTCCCATAATTACCACACCATGTTTGATGGAGTTCAGACAGTAGGCAACAAATCATAGAGAGAAATTGACATATATGACTCTGGGAGAGCCCGGCAAGCTATGGAGAGTATCTTGCCTGCACAGAAGAGCCTAGCAAGCTCCCCGTGGCATATTCGAAATGCCAAAAACAGTAACAATAACAGGTCTCATTCCCTGATTCTGAGAAGCAACTCGAATCATTGGGAAAAATGAGTCAGAAGAGGCTGCTATAATCTCGGGGCTGGGACAAATTGAAACATTACTGGTGCCCGCATGAGTAACTTGATAAACAACGGAATGACAGTGACACAGTGAACAATGAATAATAAAGTAGATTTTTTAAGTGCAATTATGCACTTTCTTATATAAGAATGAAAAGATTTCTAATTTGTATTTTTTTTCTCTTTGTGTCACATCTGATGATGCACAGGGGTTACTCCTGGCTCTGCACTCAGGAATCACTCCTGGTGGTGCTGGGGCACCACATGGGATGCTGGGAATTGAACCTGCGTTGGCTGCGTGCAAGGCATATCCCCTATCTGCTGTACTATTGCTCCAGTCCTCTAATTTGTATTTTTTTAAAAAAACTATTTGGGACAAAGTAATAGCACATCGGGTAGGGCTTTTTGCCTGGCACGTGGCTAACTCAGTGTGAATCCTGGAATCCCATATATTCCCCTGAGCGCTTCCCAGAGTAATTCCTAAGTGAAGAGCCAGGAGAAACCCCTGAGCATCGATGGGTGTGACTCCAAGAGTCAAAAAAGAAGCACTGTAGCACTGTCCACCCGTTGTTCATTGATTTGCTATAGCAGGCCCAGTAACATCTCCATTGTGACACTTGTTATTGTGTTTGGCATATCGAATACTTCCTGGGGAGCTTGCCAGGCTTTGCCATGCGGGCGAGATACTCTCGTTAGCTTGCCGAGCTCTCCAAGAGGGGCGGAAGAATCAAACCCAGGTCAGCTGGGTTGGTCGTGTGAAAGGCAAACACCCTACCTGTAAATTTTAAAAATAGATAAAAAGAAGTATGTTATTATTATTTTTAAGTTCTTTCCATTGATTGGAATTCAACAGATGCTTTTTCACTTAAATATCACTTTTTAAAAATACTTTATTTATTTTTTGTCATATTTATTTATTGAATCACTGTGGGAAAAGTTACAAAGCTTTCAGGTTTAAGTCTCGGTCATACAATGATCAAACACCTTTCCCTTCACCACTACTTATTTTTCACCAACAAGAACACCAATATACCCCCCTCCTACCCCTCCCAATGTCTGTGAGGCAGATCATTTCTATTTAACTCTCTCTCTACTTTGATAACATTCATTTTTTTGACAAAACATGCACCATTATCGTTCAGAGTTTCCACCAAACAATCAGAACTGCGGTAAAGGCATTGTGAAATAATTTGTTTTCTATAGCTGGTTATGAAAACCATATGATTTTCGATTTCTGATATTTTACTAATTAAGTCTGAAGGGATTCCTGCCAAGAGCCAGATAATTATGAGATTGGTTTCTGTGCCTCTGGAGCCATGGCCATGCTAGAAAGCTGCTCGTGGTGGGCAACTTGTGACCACGGTAGGGCGTGAAAGATGAGCCCATACTGCACCCCCTTCCCATGAGGCTGCAGTTCCCCCCTGTCACCACTGGCTCATACCTGGCTTTCCAATAAGCTCTAAGGCGGCAGTCACCTTGCTGCAGGGTGGGGAGAAGGGAAGGCAGGGGGGAGAGACACCCTTTACCTCCCGGGGAGGCATGGCACCGAAGTTTAACGCATAGTCTCTGTCCCTATGTCTGCACCGGACAAGGTTCCCGGTCTATCAAATATGTTGTTTTATATTGTTCTCAATCTATCAAATATGCTGTTTTATACTGTAGCATATTGTAAGAACTTTACTTAAAAAATTTAAATATACTATTTGGCCAAAATTTCACACAGAGCAAGTATGACACTGAAACCAAGACTATTGCCAAGAAATCCTCATGGTGATGTGCTCTTGCCCTTCCATGGGAGAAGAATCATAGGACAGGACTGAAGCCCATGAAATCAAGTTTATTTCTCCTTAACAAGAGGTACATTCTTCCATGAAAATACCCAGAGTGCCTTGGTAGCAAACACAGGTTCTCAAAAGAGCTTTATAGATTTCTGGTTCCATACCCGGGACACAGCCTGAGCAGCTGGTTCTTCCAAGGTGATCTGGAGGAAAGAGGCAATTAAAATATAAACATTCTTCATCTGATTATTCTAAATACCACTATAAATGCAATGTTTTAAAGGGGACATGCCAGATCAACCTTGGGCCCAGAGTTCAGGGGGAGAAAGACTGGAGGGGAGAGAGAGGAGGGGCCAGATCGGGGGGTTAAGGTACAAAGTTGGAGGAAAGGAATGATTGTGAAAAATATCCAAACCACAGGATCAACAACACTGAAATCAAGACTTCAACAACCAAACTTAGATAGGCACCTGACAAGAGAAGAGACGGTGGGTGGGGAGAAGGATATGGAGGGCACCTGGGCACACTGGTGGAGGAGGGAGAGAAGTTGGCACTGGTGGTTGAATCAGTGCTGCTATACTGTATGTAAAAACTAAACTATGAGCAACTTTGTAAATCACAGAGCTCTCATAAAAAAAAGAAGTAAAAAAAATGTATAGTAATAAAAGTTTTGATTTTGACCACTATCCCCTAAAAAATAAGCTCTGGTTTGTGATGCCTTGGGAGTAGAAAGGGTTCGGGTGTTAAAAGTCTTCCTTGACTTCCCCTGCCTGTTCTGCGGCCCTGTTGGTGAGGCCTAACAATCCGAGAAGCCCCTATTTCAGCCCAGGAAATATTTTCTTTTTATCTCAGTGTTCAGAACTGATATTAAAAATATCCTATGCTATAATAAAACTAAACTAATATTAAAATACCTGAGGAATATACATATTTTCCCAGTCTGTCCGTCACCCAAAACATGATTAAATGTAGAGAGAGTGTACTAGGTCAAAGCTAAAGCTTTTCCTCCATGAACTTGCACTGTTTTTCAAATGTTTCATAATGTGATTTCAGTTCAGAATGCTCCATCTAGCTCAGAAAAACCAAAATCAACAGTTGGTATTATTTTCCTATTGGGCAATCCATATAGAGAGCATTGAAGATAGGGAGCCACATAATGTAATCACAGTCAACTCCTGAGAAATTAGACAAAAGTTAGGAGACTCAAGTTCCCTCTAGTTGTCGATGAAAAGGTTCTCTGCTATGGAGTCTTCACTGAAAACTGTTCAGTAATTGTTGATTGTTAATGAATAAATGATGAAATAGGTACCATGTTAAATGTAGACTTCAGAAAGCTTCTTTGTCAATCCTATAAGATATTCACAAAAGCAAATTACCTCTCATTGTAAGGAACAAAGACAACTCTACCACAGGTTCATGGAGAATGTTCTATTCATAAGTAGATCATCAACATCTCACAAATTGAATACTGAAGCAAGTAACAAGGAATATCATTCCAGCCCCAGTGGTACCATTGGAAATTAAACTCTAACACAACACAGTGATCATAGGGATTATCGGGTTGACCTCGGTGCCAGAACCTGAAAAAAAGAGAACAGGGTAAGTATGTTTCTCAAACTGTCTTTGAAAAGAGACAGTGAAACTAAGGGCTACCATAGAACGTTATGGAGATCAGTTCAGAGACACACTAATCATTGCTTTCCACTCCTCGCACATGGCCTATCCATCTGTTGCTGTCATTTACCGTGAAAATGGGGCTGCCATGCCCCAGAGCTGCCCCATCTCCTTGTGTAAGACATCCTTCATGCAGACCCACCTCTCTCAGTTCATGCTTGTGCCCTGATTCCGTGGGCTCCCTTTAGTAATAAAACTTTCATCCTGGTCATATAGATAGCATGGGCTTTGTAAATAACCACTTTTGGAGAATGAGACTTATTTAAAATATCTTTGATTCTATGCATCTAGACTCTACACAAGGCTGAATCATCAAGGGCATCCCAGAGAGGGACGTGTGAGCCTAGTTCCCACTCAAACACAGCCCAGCAGCACACTCCACACAATCATCACCATGATCCTGACTGGACTCCACTTCTCAGGTGAGCCTCACCCAAAAATGAATCCACAGGAAAAGCTCAATATGCAGATTCACTTAATCACTTAACTTCCCGTTAGTCGTCGATTTGCTCGAGCGGGCACCAGTAACGTCTCCATTTGTCCCTGCCGCGTGCTAGTGTAGCCCATTGGCATCTGTTCGCTCCGGGAACATGAAGAGCCTCAAACCGATCGTTCATGATCTTGAAGAAGAAGTCTGACCATCTGGTAGGTGGGCGGCCACGAGGTCTTTTGACATCCTGTGGAATCCAGTCGGTAACAGTTCTAGTCCAGTGGTCATCTTTAAATCTCATTACGTGACCAGCCCATCTGATTTTCGACACCTTGGCAAATGAGACAGAGTCCCTGATTCTTGATCGTCGACGGATGTCGGAACTCCGGATTCTTTCTCTCATTTGAGTCAAACGTGATATTCCAAGCATAGCTCTTTCAGTTCTTCTTTGGGAGACCTAAATAGCGTTCTCATCTTGTTTGCGTAGGGCCCAGGTCTCTGAGGCATATGTTAATGCAGGAAGAACAGTGGAATCAAAGAGATATGCCCGGAGCCGGAGGTTCTTCATCCTCTTAGCTATTTCTTCGACGTTCTTGAAGGCGTTCCAAGCCGCTCTCTTCCTCCTGCGCAGCTCGGGTGCCAGGTCATTTGTCATGTTGACTTCTCGACCTAGGTACACATAGCTGTTGCATTTGGAGATGGTCGTTCCGTTGAGAGCAAATGGGGCGTCAGGAACGAGGCTGTTTCTCATAAACGTTGTCTTCGTAAGATTCAGCTGTAGTCCTACCTTTCCACACTCACGGTCAAAGTCGGCCAGCATTTGTGCCACTTGGCTGATGTTTGGTGTTATTAAAACAATGTCTTCAGCAAAGTGGAGGTGGTGTAGTTGCCGACCATCTATCTTCACTCCCATTCCTTCCCATTCCAGTCATCGCATGATGTTCTCGAGAGTGGCACTGAAGAGTTTTGGTGAAATGGTATCACCCTGCTGCACCCCTCTCTTGACATCGATGATCAATTCTTTGTAGAATGGTGAGATCCTGGCAGTGAATCCGCAATACAGCTCACGGAGGATCCTGATGTATTGGGCTTGAATGCCCTGATTGGCTAGGGCTTCAATGACCGCTTCCGTCTCAACAGAATCAAAGGCCTTCTTTAAATCAATGAACGTTAAACAGAGCGTCTTCTTGAACTCCCGAGAAACCTCAATGAGCTTGGTTATCGTGTGGATATGGTTGATGGTGCTGAATCCTTTGCAGAACCCGGCTTGCTCGCATGGTTGTCCTACATCTAGTGTTCTGCCAATCCTATTTAGGATGACTCGAGTGAACAACTTGTAGATGACAGACAATAGGCAGATCGGGCGACAGTTGCCAATGTCATGGATGTCTCCATTCTTGAACAGTAGTACGGTCCTGCTGGTTTTCCACTGGGACGGAACCTTGCATTCAGACAGGTAGCGAGTGAAGAGCTGAGCCAGTGTATTGATGAGTACTGACGGCAGGTTCTTCAGGTGTTCAGGTCTGACCTTTTCTGGGCCGGGTGCTGTTTGCTTCTTTACCGACGAAATGGCATGTAGGATTTCGGAAGGGAGAACGTTGGGAACGACATAGCCATCCTGTGGAATTTGGTATGTCGGCAAGTGGACATGGCTATCGAAGAGATTTGAGTAGAAGTCATGGATAATCTCCATTGCCGTTCTGGAGGACGTGATGGATCCATCAGGACGTCGGAGGGCAGTCATCTTGGTCTTGTAGTTGGCGAAGGATAGGCGGGCGTTATGAATACTTCTCCTGGCTTCTGCCGTATCTACCAGTACTTCTGCTCTTCTCTCTTTGAGGTCTTCCTTGATCGCATCTCTGCACTGCTTTGTGATCTCGGACGTTAGCTTGCGGTTGCCTGAGGCATGCTCCAAACCACGCTGGCGAATTAGCTCAAGAGTTTTCGAAGATAGGCGATTTTTTGTGGCTATCTCTCTCTTGGCGTTCCTCGTACATTCATGGAGGTGCTGAACCAGTCGATCGTTTTCCTCGTCAGTGTTGTCAACAATGGCATCTTCCCATGTTGCCGCAATAGTACCAAAGAGTTCCCAGTTGGTGGTCATTCTGGGAGTTCTCTTTTTGAACTTTGCAGCCCTTTCTTCCTGCTCTGTGAAGTAGAATTTTGCACGAAGGAGACGGTGGTCCGATCCCGTTAGAAATTTTGGGACAACAGCGACATCAGTCAGGCAAAACCGTCGATTGAATATGATGTGGTCTATTTCGTTGTGGAATCGTCCACCGGGAGACTCCCATGTCCATCGTTTAGATTCTGCCTTCTGGAACTGTGAGTTACCATGAATGGTCTTGGTCGACATGATGAACTCAGACAGTCTCTCACCCTGTTCGTTCCATTCTAGGGCATGGGTCCCGATGTGAAGTTCTTCAGCTGATCTTCTCGGTCCTATCTCGGCATTAAAATCACCCACAATGATCTTGTAGAAGGTGTGGTCTTCTTTATAGAACTTCTCTAGCTCCATGTAGAACTTCTCGATTTCTCTTTCATCATAATGAGATATTGGTGCGTAGACAACGAAGATAGACACTGCAGGCAGTGAGCCACATCTATTCAAATGTAAACGTCCGATTCGGGTTGTTAGGCATTTGAATGAATCAATGCTCTTGGCCAAGTTTGTGTTGACAAGGACACCGATGCCTCCAACACCTCTTTTATCGCATGTTTCGAGGAACAATTCTTCTCCAGTGTTGAAAACGGCATGGTGAGATTCGTGCCTTCCTGTCTCGGTCAGACCAATGATGTCGTACTTGATCATCCTCGCTTGTACCATCAGGTCCTCGATGGATGCATCTGATGCTAGCGTACGTGCATTGAAAGTACAGACGATCATTTTTGTCTTCCTTCGTTGTGGCAGCCTAGTTCGGCCTTGAGATTTTGTCGGCCTCTCCTTTCTCATCCTTCTCAGTGCTGCCATGTCGGTGAAGCCTTCAGGGTCAGGTGAATGAGACCAGTTGTAGTTACTGGTTTTGGCATATCGAATACACAACAGATAGCTTGCCAGGCTCTTCCATGCGGACAGAATACTCTCGACACTACTTCCACTTCCCAGCCATCGCCACACTCCAGGACGCTCTCCGGACCCGCACGGCCGCAAAGCTGCATCATAAGCCGACACATCATAAGACACTAAATACCCATCTTCTGGAATTGTCGTACCATATTTGATAAGGTTCAAATATGGTAACACCTACAAGGGTGATTAGAGGTCACCCCAAAAGCCTATATCCCTCTCAGAAAGAATGGCAAGCTGCCGATATTATTCCTTATATGCAGATTATGCGACTGAAATCATATTCAGGCTTTCACAGACTTTGGGGTGGGCTACCTCCCCCCATCCCCCTGTACTTCTGGAAGCCCCAGAAGTCACACACACAGGCTCCAAAGCTGCCATTCAATTAATAATTTAACTCCAGCTATATCACTCATCAAAAATTTTGGACTTCCTGAAGATTTTGTGGCTGTGCAACACCTCAAATTCTATTACACTGATAAACTGAGAGCAGCATACAAGATTGGATGGGATGTAATGTAGATGGTAACAATTGAAGAATAAAATATAAAAAGGAGACTTCACCTGTATCAACATCTTAGTCATCTCTTATACAAGAACTTAATGGCTCCATGGTGAGATACAACACTCTTCACTGGATTTCCTCTAGGGAAATATTTATGATCATTTGTTCGCAAGCTATTGATAACAAGCAATATAATATAAATTACTAAGGGCCTCCTATAGTTTGAAGGGTGGTTGAAAAAGTAGGAGACAATGTTGGAGGGAAAGTGTAAGGGTGGTGGGATTGGTGTTGGAATATTGAGAACCTTTATAAAATCATCATGAACAACTTTGTATGCCAGAGTGTTTATAGAAATCTTAAGGGAAAAACAACTTTTAAAATAAATAAAATTTCATTTCTTATAATAAATATCTTGAATTCTACTACTAATATCTAAGATTATTATATTTTACTCTGATCTTAAGCTAAAAAAATCGAACTAGAGTCTATTTGTATATATTTCACATAGTTCTTATGAGTCTCTAAGATACTATCTAGCTTAATTGTACTTAAGTATCTAAGAGTTGATGTTTTTTGGGTTTTTTTTTGTTTTGTTTTGCTTTTTACATCACACCCAGATTTGCTCAGGGGTTACTCCTGGCTTTTCACTCAGGAATGAGTGTGTGAGTGAATGAGGAATGAGTGAATGAGGAACAAGAGTTTGGGGGACCATATGGTTTGCTAGCAATAGGTCCGGATTGTTGGGGGAAGTGACTGCAAGGAAAATATCCTACATGCTCTACTCTCTCTCTGGCCTAACAGGTTTTTTTTTACTAAATAAATATAAGATACTTTAGAACTATCAGAATTTAGCTTATTGCTTTAGGGCAGAGATTGCATTTTAAGAATGACTATGATTTTTCTTGCCATGAATTTTATTATCTTGAATATGTAAATTTCACGAGAATATGCTTCTTATCAAATAAACCTGGGTTTGAAGATCATCATTTCCAATACAGAAACCTGTCCTGAGTTATCTAAACTCTCTAAATTCAGTGTCCTCATTTCTACAAAGAGAAAGAGAAAACAATGCTCTGTGGACTTCTTGAGGGGATTAATAGCAGAATGCATATTAAACATGCAAACTAATGACCAGAAATTATGTTTGAACTCTATTGCTTTAAAAGCTACAAGTTGGAGGGTCTTAAAGTCCCTACAGTCTGCATGACTCAGGATCCCCTTACCCAATTCAACACTCACGTGACACTTGAATTGTATGGTGTCTCATTAACCCATTCCCAGTGACCATTCTTCAGATCTGACAGCCCGAAATAATAATATTGATCCATTTTCAGATTCTTGATAATAAAGTCCTAGGAAAGAATAGAAGTGAGTGAGGATTTATGTCGCATTCCCCTAGATTTGAATTCTTTAAAGACTTAGGAGAAAGAACAGCAAAATGAAAGGGTCTATGAAAAGGCAGCCAAGTTCCAGTTCACAGATCTAGGTTTTCTGTGACGGAACAATGCAGGATCAAAACCATCTCTCGTGAGGATGGTGCTTGTCTTAGGTGTTCAGGCCTCTCTACGAAGCCCCATAGACGGGACACCTTATAAACAACGAAAATAGTTATGCACACTGATGTCCCCAGATCAGAAGAACAGAATGATCAGGAAAAGAACCTCTACCGTACTGAAAACTGAGATGAATTCAGAACAGAGTGAATTAGAGAACTACATTGCCAACCAACGGGCAAAGATTTCTGTCCATGCTGACATGGACACACACCCCCACTTCATCAGTAGGAAGTGGAAGTCTTCAGAGCTCTGGAGAAGAAATTTTTCATTTGAATTCCTTTGATAACTTAAGATATTTCACTTCGTTGCTTTTTATTTCTTTCCTATTTCACTTAATGGCTTTTCTCAATTGATCATTTCTTGCTTGTTTTCTCTTTCTACTTATTGTTCTGATAGTTGTTGTCACATTCTTACAGTTTGGGGACCATAAGAACCAGGCCACCCTAATCCACCAGTAATTCTTAATTGACTACAAAATGCTGGAGGTCAAGCTTAAGGCTGACACAACAAAAGCTGATTGACTGCTAGTAGATTAACCTCTCTGCTATGAGAGGTTAATAACCTCAGCACAGTGCCACAAAGATTCCCTATTTAAATGGCAATCATTTATAAAATGTTCGTAGGTTCATATAATTAACTGATAATTCATGTTCAAATATACCCATCTTTCCATTCAAGCCTCCACATCTTACTCTATATACCCCACTGTAATAATGGGGAGGATTAAAATGGAATCAAAGAAGATGTAAAATGCCAAGACTTAGATGTCCGCTCCCGTCTATTTTATTCCAAGCTTTATGACTCGGCAGCAACACTCCTGACTGTGAGAACTTCCTCCCAAGCAGGAGAGGGGTACAGAGCTGGCAGGACCCTGACTCCACTGTTGACCGGAAAGTACCTGCTCCTCCTTGCTGTCGACCACCAGCAGATGCGCCTGCATCCTTTCACAGTGCTTCTTGCTGTCAGTCCAATTTCTTATATAAGAAGAAATAAAGTAGCAATTTGAACCAAATGGCTTCCAATTCTTCGGGCAGCAGCTCCAGGATTTCCCTGTGTTGATAATTTAGTCATATTAGTACAATATAAGACAAGTGATGATTTCATTTTTTTGGGATCTCAGCCAGCCATGTTCCGGGGCTACTCCTGTTTCTGTGCTCAGGGTTGCACCTTAGTGGTCTTTAGGGGGTCCTCCTTATTTTCAGAAATGAAACTTTGCGTGACCGCATATAAGACCAGTGCCATAACCACTGTACTCTGGCCCAACGCAAGTATTTTAAATTCAGTGCAATATTAAAGGGCTGGAGCGATAGCACAGCGGGTAGGGCGTTTGCCTTACAAGCGGCCAACATGGACGACCCGAGTTCGATTCCTCCGCCCCTCTCGGAGAGCCCGGAAAGCTACCGAGAGTATTCGATATGCCAAACACAGTAACAACAAAGTCTCCAATGGAGACGTTACTGGGCCCGCTCGAACAAATCGACGATCAACGGGAGGGTCTTTACCTTTACCTTTTATTAAATGTAGAGCAAAGAGATCTTGTGGAATTACTGTGCCCATGTTCACCGAATAGTAATCAGGATGCTTACCATCATGCATTGTGTAGGTCAAGCCCACCTCCATCAGGCAGTAACAGGAATTTCCCCATTTCCTTGCCTGTGTGCAGTCTAGAAAAGGTAGCTAGAACCAAAATATTTCTAAAAGGCCCAGGCTTGGCAGCTAGGGAGATAGTACAGCAGGCAGGGTGCTTGCCTGTACATGGCAGACACAAATTCAATGCTCAGTATCACAAATGGCCTTCGGAGCCCCACCAAGAGTGATCCTAGAGCACAGTGCCAGAATAACCCTGAGAACCACAGAGTGTGCAAAGGGGAAAAAACATAATAAATAAACAAATACATAAAAAAAATCAGACGCTCTGAAGAAAACGCAAAAATGTCCCATTTTCAGTGGAAAATTACTCTTTAGCCAATAACAATTAAATTCTCAAAATTTCTATGGTTGTATTGTGTTCCCTTAAAATACAGTTGTTAAAACTGTGATCCTTGATGTGACTATGTTTGGAGGCAGTGCCTTTAGAAGATAAGTTGATTAAATAGAGTGAAAACACTGGGACCTTTTAACCCAATAAAACTTTGATGTTTCAAAAAGAGAAACTTAATCACTTAATCACTTAACTTCCCGTTAGTCGTCGATTTGCTCGAGCGGGCGCCAGTAACGTCTCCATTTGTCCCTGTCGCGTGCTAGTGTAGCCCAATGGCATCTGTTCGCTCCGGGAACATGAAGGGCCTCAAACCGATCTTTCATGATCTTCAGGAAGAAGTCTGACCATCTGGTAGGTGGGCGGCCACGCGGTCTCTTGACATCCCGTGGAATCCAATCAGTAACAGCTCTAGTCCAACGGTCGTCTTTAAATCTCATTACGTGACCAGCCCATCTGATTTTCGACACCTTGGCAAATGAGACAGCGTCCCTGATCCTTGATCGTCGACGGATGTCAGAACTCCGGATTCTTTCTCTCATTTGAGTGAAACGTGATATTCCAAGCATAGCTCTTTCTATTCTTCTTTGGGAGACCTGAATGGCGTTCTCATCTTGTTTGCGTAGGGCCCAGGTCTCTGAGGCATATGTTAATGCAGGAAGAACAGTGGAATCAAAGAGATGTGCCCGGAGCCGGAGGTTCTTCGTCCTCTTAGCTATTTCTTTGATGTTCTTGAAGGCGTTCCAAGCCGCTCTCTTCCTCCTGCGCAGCTCGGGTGCCAGGTCATTTGTCATGTTGACCTCTCGACCTAGGTACACATAGCTGTTGCATTCGGAGATGGTCGTTCCATTGAGAGCGAATGGGGCGTCAGGAACAAGGCTGTTTCTCATAAACATTGTCTTCGTAAGATTCAGCTGTAGTCCTACCTTTCCACACTCACGGTCAAAGTCGGCCAGCATTTGTGCCGCTTGGCTGATGTTTGGTGTTATTAAAACAATATCATCAGCAAAGCGGAGGTGGTGTAATTGCCGACCATCTATCTTCACTCCCATTCCTTCCCATTCCAGTCGTCGCATGATGTTCTCGAGAGTGGCACTGAAGAGTTTCGGTGAAATGGTATCACCCTGCCGCACCCGTCTCTTGACATCAACGATCAATTCTTTGTAGAATGGTGAGATCCTGGTAGTGAATCCGCAATACAGCTCACGGAGGATCCTGATGTATTGGGCTTGAATGCCCTGATTGGCTAGGGCTTCAATGACCGCTTCCGTCTCAACAGAATCAAAGGCCTTCTTTAAATCAATGAACGTTAAGCAGAGCGGCATCTTGAACTCCCGAGAAACCTCAATGAGCTTGGTTATCGTGTGGATATGGTCGATGGTGCTGAATCCTTTGCGGAACCCTGCTTGCTCGCATGGTTGTCCTTCATCTAGTGTTCTGCCAATCCTATTCAGGATGACTCGAGTGAACAACTTGTAGATGACAGACAATAGGCAGATCGGGCGATAGTTGCCAATGTCATGGATCTCTCCCTTCTTGAACAGTAGTATGGTCCTGCTGGTTTTCCACTGGGACGGAACCTTGCATTCAGACAGGTAGCGAGTGAAGAGCCGAGCCAGCGTATTGATGAGTACTGACGGCAGGTTCTTCAGGTGTTCAGGTCTGACCTTGTCTGGGCCGGGTGCTGTTTGTTTCTTTACCGACGAAATGGCGTGTCGGATTTCGGAGGGGAGAACATTGGGAACAACATACCCATCCTGTGGAATTTGGTATGTTGGCAAATGGACATGGCTATCGAAGAGATACACGACTTCCACTACCCAGCCGTCGCCACACTCCAGGACGCTTTCCGGACGCGCGGCAGCTCCGGCCGAGACCCACGCACAACTGAAGACCCACAGAACAAGATAAGCGGAACTCTCTGAGACCTTGGACTCCAGGCTCAGCGGACCCAGGGACAGAGCTTCTCTGCTTGCTCCCACCACCACAGGTGACAAAGGGATTCTAATCAGGAGCCCCACCCTACCCTGCCCTGTCTGCTTCCATCAACCACCCAGGGATCGAATTGTGCACAGGAGACCCACCCTACCCAGATAAATACCCCACTGGCAGACTTCCACTCTCGACACGACTTCCACTACCCAGCCGTCGCCACACTCCAGGACGCTTTCCGGACCCGCGCGGCCGCGCGACACATCATAAGACACTAAATACCCATCTTCTGGAATTGTCGTACCATATTTGATAGGGTTCAAATATGGTAACACCTACAAGGGTGATTAGAGGTCACCCCAAAAGCCTCTATCCCTCTCGGAAAGACTGGCAAGCTACCGAGAGTATTCCGCCCGCACGGAAGAGCCTGGCAAGCTATCTGCTGTGTCAAAAGAGAAACATACATCAAAAATGTTTCTCCCTCTCTTTTCTACCCTCTCTCCCTCTTTTTCTCCCTCACCCACTCCTCCTCCTCTCTGTTTCTCCCTTTCTCCATCTCTTTTCCTCTCTCGCCTCCTTTCCCTCTCTCCCTTTGTCTCTTCTTTTTCCTCTCTCCCTCTCTCCTTCTCCCCTTTCCCCAACTATGGAAAGATGAGAAGTCACTTGAGGATAAAGCAAAAGAACAGCTATCCAGAGAGCCCCTCCTCAACAGAAACCAATCCTGCTGGCACCTCTTCTCAGCCTTCCAGCCTCCATGTCTGGAAGAAATAAATATCTATTGTTTAAGGTGTCAGTCTCTGGTGTCATTGCAACCCACAATGACATTGTGTTGTCAATTGGGTACCTTCCAAGGCAGAGGAAATGGAAACAAAACAGAATATCATAGCCTTCAACTCTATCCAAAAAAGTATGTGCTGTATTCTCTAAGCAAACATTTGAATGCATGAAATGTTTGTGTTTTCTTAAAACACAACTGAATTTGATCTTTCTTGAGTAAGTCAGTTTTAACAGATATGTAGGAAGAGTAAGAGTGAAAATAAAGTACAGAGAGAAGTGAGATTAAAGAAATTCAATGGAGTTATAGTACAAGGTCAGGCCCTTGCCTTCCATGTGGCTGACTTCAGTTTTATACATGACATCCTATAATACACTCAGAACACTTCCAAGGAATGACCCCTCAATGCAGCTCCAGGGATAAGACCTGAGAACCTCCAGGTGTGACAAAACAGAAAAGAAATCCAAAAGCAATGCAATTATTTTTTCACAGATTAATTAAAAATATGCTCACAAAATAATTAAGGCATGATATAGATGCATACTTAAAACTATTATGAAACAGCTCTTAAGTATACTTTACCCATGAATCTTACTGGAACTATTGATATGTGTGGGAAATGTACTCTGGTGAAGGTCTGAGTATTGTAACATTGTATGATGAAACCCAGTCATGGACATCTTTGCAACTGTTTATTTCACAGTGATTTAATTTTAAAAAGTTAATGAAAAACATAGTATTACAGTGGAAACAGGACAGTGGAAACAAGGGCCAGGAGGAATGGTTTGCGGTTGGAAGTTTGCCACAAGGGGGGTAGGGTGTAGCTTAATGTAGTCCACAATTCAGTTATATGAAAATTTAATTAATTTAATTTAGTGTTTTTACCTAGTTTGGTCAGAAACGTATGTAAATGCAAGTATATCAGTTCAATTATCACTGTATCACTGTCATCCCATTTTTTATTGATTTGCTCAAGGTGGGGAGCAGTAACATCTCCATTCGTCCCTGTTGCATGCTAGTGTACCCCAAAGAGTACTGGGACTCTTTCAGGGTCAGAGGAATGAGGACCATCATTGTTACTGTTTTTGGCATATCGAGTATGCCACAAGTAGCTTGCCAGGGTCTGCTGTGTGGGTGGAATACTGGCCAGGAACTCTGAGAGAGATGGAGGCCTCTAATCACCTTTACAGATGTTCCCAGTCAAATATATTATATACATACATATATACGTATATGTATATATATACATATATTTATCACATATGTGTATATATATATATATACATATATATATATAGCACTGTAGCACTGTCTTCCTGTTGTTCCTTGATTTGCTCAAGCTGGCCCAATAATGTCTCCATTGTGAGACTTGTTACTATGTTTGGCATATCGAATATGTCATGGGGAGTTTGCCAGGCTCTGCTGTGCGGGTGAGACACACTTGGTAGCTTGGCCGGGGCTCTGATAGGGACGAAGGAATAGAGCCCAGGTTGGTCGAGTTGAAGGCAAATGCCCTACCCTCAATGCTATCACTAATTACTAATAATTATTAGTAATAATAATATGTACATTAGCTCTACGAATATAGTCATTAGTTCTACTAGTATAGCAGCAATTCAATTCTATGCATATTAGTTCTTACCTTTCAGGGTCGAGTTTTCTTTCTTACATTCCAACAGTGTGCGAGTCAGTTCTTGTGTAAACTTTTCTTCTTGAACAAGTTTAGGATATTTCTGTAAAAAAACTAGAAAGAGAATAACATCAGTCATTTTCCTGGTACTGCTAAGGCTTTTCTTTTTACTGTTACTTTCTTGAATGAAATCCGTAATACATAATTACTCCAATAGAAGGATGCTAACTATTGAAAAAGTACCTCATTACCCAGCATTCAACACATTCTAATCCTACAGATGATGAAACCACAGATTTGTTTTCTGATGGGATGAAAGATGCTATGAAAATTCTTGTGTAATGGATCTAAAAGGTAATTATCCATCTTCACCTTCAACGAAAACCTAAGTTTACAAATGATATGTATACAAATGCTAAACCTTGGAGAAGGAAGAGGTGAGAAATGGTTAAACATTTCTATCTGAGGATGAAAAGTCATAACTTTGGGGAATGAAACTATCAATTCTGAGATCTGGATTACCTGTATAAGGGGAAAAATTTTTAAAAATCTAAAAAAGGAAGGGAAGAGCATTTGTTTCTTCAACCTTGCCTCTTTTGTTTATCCAACTGTCACTGTTTTGTTTTGTTTTTTCGAGATTAGTTGCTTTCTACATTTTTGCCATCTAATGTGGTGTGCTACTCCTGGTACAGCAATGGTAGCATACGAGATGCTGTGCAGCCACCTGTGGCCACACACTCCAGGAATTCTAAAATTTTGAAGAGGGTTACACAACTAGAGCTAAATTTTTAGCTGGGAGGTGACTTAGGCTACTGGAGGCATCTCTGCAGCTTGCTGATGATCTCTTCCAAATTTTAACTGTTAATGCCTGCATCATGACCATTTGTGAGCTTCTTATGGCACCAGAGGCAGTTCGTGGGAATGACTGCCAGGTTCCCGAAAGAACAGGGAGATGGGGGGAGGTCACCCATTCCCGACTCTGAGAAAGCCTGGAGAATTTGGACCTCTGCAATTCTTGAAATTAGTTCTTTTCACTTCATTCTCCAGACACCACTGTTTCCTGGTTTTGCCCCTCCTTTCTTTCTGATGCTTCTAAATCTCATTAATCTACTCACATCTTCGAAAATTCTAATATTCCTCATAATTCTTGCTGATGCTTCTTTAATTACTTTATTCTTTTTTATCTGTGCTTCTTTCAATTGAATATTTATTTTCCTCCCTCTCATTGAAAAGCCTCTCCCTGAGTGCTAGCATGAATACCCACAGTTTCATATGCAACATGTAATAATTCCAAAATCCAGACTTCTTTTTCAAAATCTGGCCAATATATCTCCCACTAGTTATGTCCACTTGATGTACAAGAGTCAACAAGAATCACTGTGCCCCAATCTTAACTTTGCATCTTATTCATAAACCTGCTACCAGTGAATATTTCCATTATTGTGTTATAACGTGAAAATACCTGAGCTATGCTTGAGTTCTTATAGTACCTCATCTTTAGATCTCAATGATCTTTAGATCTACCTCCTTGGTTCTACCTTCTTGTTATTATTCAAAGCTTCTTCCTTTTCTCTTTATTGCCACAAAGCTTGGATCAAGTTATCACTATTTTCCAAATGGATAATGAACTAGCATTTTATTATCTATTGACAACTTTGTCCTGGTATATTCATTTAACAAAACTTACCAAAGCATATTTCAATTAAAGTACATGTATTGCAATTAACTGAATTTCAAAAGTGTGTTTCGGTTGTAGGTTTCAAATAACTATGGACAAATGTATTTTTATGTCAAATTTGATGACAATATCTCCTTCATGTTTTACATTCTACAGTGACTCTTAATAGCTGTTATTATGAGAAAGTTCATGGTTTTCCATCTTTCCTGTAGCCACACTCATTTTCAATATTACTTCTCAACAGGTGGAATATATTTCTACATCTTATAACTTAGACAACTCTATGACTTTGTTTAGTTTGGTCTGAGGGAAAATGATTTTAATGATAAAATGTTTCTATCGCATGTGTCGGGACCTGGGTTCAATATTTTGTATGTACCACACGGATGGGAAGGTGGGAGAGGACAAGAAAGCTATGATGGTTTTAAGACTTCCTTAGCCATCAGAATGTATAGAAGCAATTCTGATGAGTTCTACGCTGTGGATAGAAGAGATTTCTCAGACATACATTCTCATTCTTGGAAACATAAAAGTTACTTTACAAATAAACTCAGGCTTGATCACTTGATCACTTGATATCCCGTTACTCATTGATTTGCTCGAGCGGGCACCAGTAACGTCTCCATTCATCCCTGCTGCGTGCTAGCGTAGCCCAGTGGCATCTGCTCGTTCTAGGAACATGAAGAGCCTCAAACCGATCATTTAGAGTCTTGATGAAGAAGTCTGACCATCTCGTAGGTGCCGGCCACGCGATCTTTTGATGTCCCATGGAATCCAGTTGGTAATGGCTTTAGTCGAGCGGTCATCTCTAAATCTCATTATGTGTCCAGCCCATCTGATTTTCGCTGCCTTGGCAAATGAGGCAGCATCCCTGATTCTTGAGTGTTGAGTTAGTTTGGAATTCCAGATTGTAACTCTCATATGAGTGAAGCGTGATACTCCTAGCATAGATCTTTCGATTTCTCTTTGAGAGACCTGAACAGTGTTCTCATCCTGTTTTCGTAGGTTCCGCTCTCTGAGGCGTATGTTAATGCAGGAAGAACAGTGGAATCGAAGAGATGTGCTCAGAGCTGGAGATTCTTCGCCCTGTTAGTTATTTCTTCGAGGCTCTTGAAGGCATTCCAAGCCACTCTCTTCCTCTTGTATAACTCAGGTGCCAGGTCATTCGTCATGTTGACTTCTCGACCTAGGTATACATAACTGTTGCATTCAGAGATGGTCGTTCCATTGAGAGTGAATGGAATGTCAGGAACAAGACTATTTCTCATGAACATTGTCTTTGTGGGATTCAGTTGTAATCCGACCTTTCCACACTCATGGTCGAAGTCGGTCAGCACTTGTGCCGCTTGGTTGATGTTTGGTATTATTAGTACTATGTCATCAGCAAAGTGGAGGTGGTGTAGTTGCCAACCATCTATCTTCACTCCCTTTCCTTCCTATTCCAGTCGCCGCATGATGTTCTTGAGGGTGGCACTGAAGAGTTTTGGTGAAATAGTATCACCCTGCCAAAACCCTCTCTTGACATGGATGATCACGCTTTGTAGAATGGTGAGATCCTGGTAGTGAATCCGTAATACAGCTCATAGAGGATCCTGATGTATTGAGTTTGAATGCCCTGATTGGCTAGGGTTTCAATAACTCAGGCTAGTCTGGGGAATTCTGAAATAAAAGTGCCAAAATTGCCCATATATGCCAACTGACATCCTCTTCTTCAAACACTAAGTTATCTGCAACTGGTACCTGACTGTTTGTGTGTGAATAATTTAAGTCAGACAAAAAGAACCTCCTAGTTTATTGTTTAACCATTGCCAACTCACAGAATCAAGTGCTTGTTAATTTAACCACTAAGTGAAAATGTTTTATTCATCATCAAAAGGTAAGTGATTTGAAAAAAAGCTTCAGGGAGCAAAAACAGATTGGGCCTGGGAAAATAGATTAAAGGGTTGACCGTGTGCTTTGCCAGCAGGTATCCATCTCCATCCTCAGCACCCCATGGAGCTATCCCAAACTCTGAGTCAGTAGACATTAGCATCTTGGAGTTAAACCCCAAAACAATCAAACAAAATTCTAGGCTATTAGTATTGTACATAACATTCTACATGCTCTGAGGGTATTATGCCTTGCCTCTACAACTTTGTTTCTCACAGCTCCTTAACACCATATGTTCCAGTAATTTATCATTATGCTATCCAGATTTTCCTATGCTCTCTTACCTCTCTGTTATTCTTAATACACACAGCTCTAGAAAACGCTTCCTTCAGGAAACATATAAGTCTTCTGTGCATCTCACCCACATACTTATATAGTGTTGAAACCACTGGTTGATTCCACAATTCTCCACTATCTCTGAACTTCTCTGACTATGGGAAAATTCCCTATGGCTCTTTTCATATGGCCCTAATGCTGGAAATAATAAGATCAGTAGTTATCACTGCATATTGAATGACCAAGTAGTGAATGAACTATACATCCAAATATGCACTGGTTTTCACACCTTTTAAAAATCTTAAAAATGCTTAAAGCCAGGGACTGAAGAGATAGTACCATAGATAAATGGTCCCTTGAGTTCCAACAGAGTGATACCTGAGCAGAGAGAGAGGAGTAAGCCCTAAAAACTTTTGGGTGTGGCCCTGAAGTTTTTTTTAAATTCTGAAGCCAAAGATGCGCATGTTGCAAATAGCAGAATATAGATATCTATCTCTTTGCAACTGACTTTTACGATCATCTATGTTGATGGGCGAAAAAGGTAAAAATTCACTAGAAAACTCTGCCTTAAATATCTTTTTCCCATTCCCTTTACTGTTTGGTGATCACAACCTAAGTGAATGAATTTTAAAAGGCCTGAACAACATTACTAAGGAATAGACATTTGTCCTTATTTACCCAAACAGTCTAATGTACATAGTGATGCCTTGTAATTTTCACTTTACAACACAAAGATGTGCAAATACATATATACTTTACTTTCTCAGAACAAATTTGGTGTCATTATTTCACAGAAGAGTAACTAAATTCAAATAAAGCGCCGCGTTTCCAATGGATGCCTGTATGTTCTGTTTCCCCTAGAGAAGACTTCAGCTCCTCTGGTTAAATCCATTATGAAATTATCAGTGTCTAAAGTATGCTATCTCCAAAGAGATAAAGTAAGGGAGATACTCCTTCCTGATTCTATTAGTTACTTACTGATAAAGGTGATTAAAAATGAGATTTTAAGTAGCAGAAGAATCAACAATGTGGCAAGAAGTAGTTTGATGCAAACAGAGTTACTTGGGGGAGAGCTAGTCTTCTCTTTGGGAGCTGCAAGAGAAACCAAATTAGTTTCATCAGTAATACAGTCAGGCCAGTCCTTTTTCTTCTCCCTTTTTGTGATTGACATATCACTACAGACAGTGTGACATTTAAAAGAAAAGTAACTAAAAGCAGTCATAGTTGAAAC